TGTAAGCAGCTCATCTGTGATCCCAGCTACGTGAAAGATCGAGTCGAAAAAGTGGGCCAGGTGATCAGAGTCATCTGTATCCTCAGCCACCCCATCAAGAACACCAACGATGCCAACTCCTGCCAGATCATTATTCCACAGAACCAAGTCAATCGGAAGTCAGGTCAGTTTTGAAGATAAGCAGATGTGTGTAGAAATTACAAATTTTATCTGCTCTATTACAGTGAAGAGACTTTAGTTTACATATGGAAAATAAAATGTGATGTATCCCTTTTAGCTCATAGAGATCCTAAGTCTAAGGATCCTAAGAGTCCTAAGTCATCACTTTGAAATGGAAACGTTTGCCTAGGAGCCCTGCCTTGGACTTGTACCCCCCTCTTTGGGCCTCCATTTCTTCTGTAGAACTGAGAGGCTGGACTGGATGAGCAGGCAGTCTTGCCTGGTTTGAACATTGTGTGCCTTGTGGAGGTTTATGCTTATTAGTTGACCTGATTTCACTGTTACTTTGAGCTGATGACAGCACTGCTTTTGTGTCATGATTTGTCAACTTAATACTTGTATTTGATTTTAGCAGTGTGCTAGAAAACAACTTTGGTTTCTCTGATTGAGATCAGGACTTAGCAGGAATTCCCTGGTGGCGCAGTGGTTAAGAATCCGCCTGCCAATGCGGGGGACACGGGTTTGATCCCTGGTCTGGGAAGATCCCACATGTCACGGAGCAACTAAGGCCGTGCGCCACAATTACTGAGTCTGCACGCTACAGCCCGTGAGCCGCAACTGCTGAGCGTACGCTCCGCAACTACTGAAGCCCACGCACCTAGAGCCTGTGCTCTGCAACAAGAGAAGCCACCACAATGAGAAGCCTGTGAAATGCAACGAAGAGTAGCCCCTGCTCGCCACAAATAGAGAAAGCCCGCATGCAGCAATGAAGACCCAATGCGGACAAAAATAAATAATAAATAAATTTAAAAAAAGGATCAGGACTTAGCTCTGAAATCGTAATTCCTAATCTGTTTGCTTTAACCAGTTTTCTTTCATCCACTAGCTTTTCCCATCTTCCTTTCAGTTAGAAGCCCTAAAGCTTTCAATTTTTTTTTCCATGTAAGAGACGAAATCACAGAAGATTATTATGAGAACTAAGAGACACAGACGAAAGTAATCTTTCAAGGGTTCCCAAGTAGATCTCAGGGTCAGGGAGAGTGTAAAAAGAGTAAAGGGAACCCAGTAATTATCTCTTATATTGGAAATTATGTAGTTAACTAGTGGTATACAGACAAGTAGAATCTATGGAATTATTATGAGCTTATGCCAACTCAAGAATAGCTTATTGTGCTTGCAATTTTATATTGCTTAAAAAATGAGAAATCAGTAGTTAAATAAATCCTATCTTAGCTATTCAAAACCTTTCTAAATGCAGGGTTCAGAGAGGAAGACAGGTTTTCACAGTGAGCTGTGACATCTGGGTAGAGAATGTCATCTCCCCGTCCACCATTCACTGCCACATAAATCCTTCATCTCCAGTAGGCCAAGAGTTGCTGAATATTTGTATATTTTATGTATGACCTTGTTTGTCTCCATATAGAACTTAATCTTAGAATATCCAGTCTGTTCCAAGTAATTTTAACTCACACCTCAATGAAGTATGGGTGAAACTGAGTGCACACACAGGCCCAAGGTTGAAAGACCCTGGCAGTGAGGTGGCTTTGCTTGCTTGCAGATATCTATGTCTGCATGATCTCCTCCGCACACAACGTGGCCGCACAGGGCAAGTACATTGCCATCGCCAGCACAACCGTGGAGACCAAGGAGCCCGAGAAAGAAATCAGACCAGCTCTGGAACTCTTGGAACCAATTGAGCAGAAGTAAGTGATGTGTTCATTTATAGCAGCTCAAACCCAGGATTGCCTTTGGCTCCATGGTGAACAGAACCCCATGAGAACAATGAGAGCAGCCATCATCTCTTACCAGCCTGGGTTTTGAATTTCAGGCAAAGCGGTGAGTGGGCGTGTCAACTTCCCTGCTTACTTAATTCTTTTTCCCCTCCAGATTCGTAAGCATCAGTGACCTCCTTGTACCAAAAGATTTGGGAACAGAAAGCCAGGTGAGTGGCAATCTGAAAAGGGTAATTACCAGGCTTTATTGGGAGACATCACTAAATAGTCTGAAGTCTTTGTGACTTTCATTTCCAGATCTTTATATCCCGTACATATGATGCGACAACTCACTTTGAGACAACCTGTGATGACATTAAGGACATCTATAAGAGGATGATGGGATCCGAGTTTGACTTTGAGGAAATGAAGCGCAAGAAAAATGACATCTATGGGGAAGACTAACAGCAGTACATGTTATCATCTAATTAGGACAAACTTAAAATTTGGCAAATGATGCATATTGTATGAAATCAATATTGTAAGGCCTGCTTTTGTAATCAAAGCTGAGAGATTGCAGAGCACTGTACCCGTAAACATTCTTCCCCTTTCTAATATCATGTATTAACTTGTTTTCATGGAGTGGCTCTTCAGAATTGGCAGGTTCCCACATTCTGTTCAATTTAACCAATACTGGCTTGTTTTTTCTAGTGAAGGATCAGTTTTAAAACATTGTGATACTGATACAGAGAACTTGATACAGTATTTGTATCTTTTAATCAGTGTAGCCTTTGCAGTTATGAGCTTCTGCTGCTCAAGAGCTGTGTCAGTACAGTTTGCGTGCCATCTGTCCTCTTGACATTAAGGAGATACGGAATCGAATGTTCCATCGTTGGGGACAGTATCCCTCACTCCTCCCCACCCCTTTACATTTACATCAAGTGTTAGAAGAGTGCCCAGGCAGCATAGCCACAAGCTGGGTTTATGTGGGCCTCCAATTCTAACCAAACTCCAGACTTTGAGAGTCATTTTGGAGGAAGCCTGTGTGCGGTGTTTTAATCTAATAAATTTGATGAGAGCAGAGGGGAAAGAAACTATCATAAAGCAGGTAAACGTAGAAGCTTCTTTTGTATCCCAGGTGTGGCTTCTTCTATGGACCAAGCTGCTGCAACGCAGTATTGATTTGACAGAGCCTCTGCTTCAATGATGTCTGTCTCACAATGGCTCCAAATGATTTCTGTACTGCAAAATAAAGCCAAACTCTGGAAACCAGCTCCCTCTTGTTGGTCTTTTGTGTCCTGACAATTCAGAGCTAGTAAGTATTGTACTGGCCTTGACACAGCTGCTCATTTCCTTCACTAGAGCTGAAAACGGATGCTGGGGAAGAGTGCTGAAGACCCTAGTGGTTGGTGGAGTGCTGCCATCTGGCTTCACTGTGAGTAGACCCCGAATTACTTCTTGGTACAGTGTAATTATTAGACTCTCTTAGATATCCTTAGTAGTGGTGTAGAACAAGGATTCGTTCCCATCAGAGAGTAAGTGACATCCGGTGGAATGGGTGCGTTAATATATTTATTTATTTAATAAGTTAATTAATTTTATTTTTGGCTGTGTTGGGTCTTCCTTGCTGTTCACGGGCTTTCTCTCGTTGTGGTGAGTGGGGGCTACTCTTCGTTGTGGTGTCTGGGCTTCTTGTTGCGGAGCATGGACTCTAGGCACGTGGTCTTCAGTAGTTGTGGCACGTGGGCTCAGTAGTTGTGGCACACGGGCTTAGTTGCTCTGTGGCATGTGGGATCTTCCCGGACCAGGGATCGAACCCGTGTCCCCTGCATTGGCAGGTGGATTCTTAACCACTGTGCCACGAGGGAAGTCCCAGTATTTTCATTTAATTCAGATTGTAGACAGACAGTTTTTAGTGGTACCTCCTTTCCCCTTGATTGTTACAAGCCTCACTGTATGTGCTGTCATTTACATCGAGGACATTGTATTCTCTTTTATAGTTGAGTCTGTCATTTATGTCGGAGGAATGAGGACATTGTAACTGTATTCTCTTTTAAAGTTGAGTCTGAAGGACATAGACTAAGGTAGGCAATCTGTTAAAGGATTTAGGGTAATAATAACTTCGATTATCCAAGTGATTACTTTAGCTTTCTCAATCTCATACTATCCATTTTTGGCCGAAGAATTTTTTGTTGTAGGTGGGCTGTCCTGCACACTGTATGCACCTCCCTGGCGTGACAACCCCAGATCACCCCGGTTGAAAACAACTGCTTCCTTTTCATAAGATTATCTAAAATTCCAGCAGGCCTTTCCCCTCTTTTCCTGCAACATTTCACATTGTGAACCGTTAACGCAGGTGGAGGCACAAGCTGGGTTAGTAGTACGAAGGAAGTACCAGGATGCCTTCATATTCTGCATTCGGCGTATTTATTGGAACAACTAACATTTCTGTGCCAGGCCAACGGGGCACAAAGGTGATGAGGGCAGAGTCTCTGCAGAAGCTCAGTCTGGAGGCGCCTGCTCCTCTGTGGCCTGGCTAAGCCTTCAGTTACAGAACGGGCGGCCTCGTGGGTGCTGGAAGGTTCTTCAGGGGAGGAGCACGGCTGGCAGGTGCGCTGTACTTTCCTTTTCCGTAGTAATTTCACATTAAGTCAGTGTACCAAATACAGTTATGGTCCTATTAGATTCTTATCCCTGGGGTAAAAATCAGCTGAGTGGGTCTCTAAGCAAGAGCTAGGGTAAGAATTAAAACTCAGTCATTCTTCCTCCTCCTAAGAACATACCGAGGGGAAAGGAACACTTTCGGTTCTGTGGGGGGAGTTTAAAAGCAGATAAATGGCTTTTGAGGGAAGTTCCTGTGCAGGCTGACATGACCCCCTGGAAGGGCCAATTGGAGAGTTGTGAGGTGTCCTCTTGCTGGAGCCTGCTGCTCGGCACCGCACGAGGGAGGGGAAAGCACCGGGCAGGCCTGCGGGGATGAGGCTTGACAGATGGCGGCCAAAGTGAGGTAAGTGGTAGGATTCTTTTGGAAGCTACTTATTCTGCTAAATGGCCTAAAAAATTTAAAGTGCTGTAAAACATTCTCTTACAAATTTAATATTTGCTATAAAATCATTGCAGAAGCAGTTGAACGATTTTTAGTTGTCTTTATTAAAATGAAACAAATTAGGTACAAAAACCTTTGTTCCAAATAGATACTATGTATCTTACCAATGTTTTTGCTTGGTTTTGAGTTTTAAAGATTGGTGTAGAAATTATTTCTAATATAAATAAATGATTATTTCTTCCTCAGAGGGTTGATTTTTGTAGTACGCTGTTTACAAAAACTGAGTAAGTGAAAATGACAGTTTATAAATTTGTACCATTTAGGAAAAAAATGTTTATGTAGTGTAGCATGAATAACAGCAGATAAAACCATTGAAGATGTTAGTTTTTACACAGGTGGTAAAACCTTTAAAACAGACTACAACATGCATTACATGTGCATTTCTGACCTTAACGTGCAAAAACAAAGCTACTGGTTAAAATAGACTTATTTTTGCTACAATTGAGTACACTTGTAAAATTCTTATTTTTATCATTAATTTCAATGAATAGCTTTGAAGCTATTCTGCTTAAAATGAGAATAATTTAAAACAATAATATTGAACACTGTAACCCAAAACTAATGGAAAACTACAGTGCTGCTGTGAACAAAGCCAGACAACAAAGTCAGACATTCTGGCAATGTGTAAAACACGAAGAAAAATGTTCCCCCAAGTTGTAGAACACTGAGATACACAGAACAGTCTTCTCATATAAATCAAAGGTTTTCAAAGAAAAGGGAAAATACTCACTTGTTGTTGGCATCACCGATGTCTAGGTAAGCTGTAGTTAAATCACCTGGACAAATACAAAATTGATAATTCCGTCTTTAAAATAAAATAACCAAGAACTATTCCATAAATAGGATGCTACCTACTGGGGAAAATGTCTATGCATGTAGGCTACACTGTCTTCCGTCCTGGCAGCAGATGGACTGCAGGTGAAAACACTCATAGAGTGGAGGTTAGTTATTTCATTAGTGATACTTGAGAAAGTCCCATTTATGCCAAACTAGCAGCACCCCTAAATAAACAAAACTTTAAATTTACAGCATGACGTATAAGGTACAAAAGTTTTTGAGCAACTGGTTTCCCGCAGACACAGATGTCAGCATCTGCTGTCAGTTCCAGCTCACGTGGGAGAGAGTCACAAGTGTTCTCACCAGTAGCTACTCCTGAATGGAGCTGCTACTTTCTGTACATTTTCAATAAAGTCATTTACATCTGTAACAAGGATGCCACTGTTTTCAGAGACATCTCTGGAGACAACAGGCTTTTCTGTAAAAAGAAAAATAAGCTTTTTTGGTGAAAAAATTCATTAATTTAAAAAGTAGCAAAATCCCTTTTATTGAAAAAAAAAAGACTCATACACGTGAAGGAAAAAGCGAGCCTGTTTCACGTGAGGAATGAGGTTGGAGCTCTGGGAGCAGCCGCCTCCATGGGCGGTGGTGGGAGGGAGGGAGCTGAAACCACTGATGGGCACTTTTTTAAAAGCTTAGATGGTTACACTTAACAGATCTAGTACAGGTTTTTTTTTTTCTATTAACAGGACAAAACCCACAATACCTGCTGCCCCAGCCTCGTGTGTGTTTATTCCTGGCCGCCAATGACTCCACTTGGATGGAAGGACGTTTCTAGAGTGGACCTACTGGGCGTTAACTGGTTGATGAAAATTAGAACTAAGGCTATGAATTTACCTGTAAGGAAGACGGCAAACCTCGCGTGGACATGCTGAATTTGCAGGTTTAGCAGACATTTCAGGTGCTCAGCTTTCGTTGATGATCGGGAGTCACACTGGTGATAATGAAGCAGCTCAAAGATATTTGCACTCTGATACGATTTCAATATTAAGTTCTTTTTATATGCAATTGAATCCACTCTGAAAAATACGCAAAAAATGTTAAATTTAGATAAGTCTAAGTTTGTGAAAGATTTTCTGTATCTTAATTTTCAGTTGCTTTATTCCTAGACTTTTTCTGGCCTTCACTATACTTAGTCAAACTCCTTTTCCCTTCTGTGTTCTTTTGTATGACACACTTGGCTTCCCAGACGTCACCATCCTGTCGAATTCCCTCAAAACATTCCGAGTGTACTTACTCCTCGTCCCGTCAGGAAGGACAGCACATGGCCCTCGAACACTGCTTCCAGCCATGTGGCTGGCAAGCCTCCCACTCATTCCCAGCGGGCCCCTTCCTGCATCCTGTCTCATACAGCAGTGCTTCCCGTGCTTTGGCTCTCCAAAACCACTCTACTTCTTTTTGGTTAGATAGTCACCAACTTCATTAAGATCATCTAACAGCTAGAATTTTCTCACCTCACTTTAAATCTTGTTTCTACCTTTTATTCTTCCTTTTAGAGGAAAGTGTTCCATCCTGCAGCCCCTCCAGTACTCACACCCTCGCTCCTGCTTGCTGGAGAAAACCCAAAGCCTGCGTATTCCCAAAGCTCTAGTCACACCATGAACTGCATCACGATGAATTTCCTTCCAGGTTTTATCCTTTGTATGTGTAAATTTATATGCCTGGCATCATACTGTACATAGTTTATCACTGTGAACAGAAATTTTTTATATGCTTCTAGTTACTCTTTTATGCTATGTGTGGCATTATTTTGCATATTTAAAAAATTATGTATCTGTTTAGTCCTGTATCTGCCTAGAGATGAATTAGACGATGGTTTTGTAGCTACTGATTACCACGCATGGTTTTTGTTCTGTTTTGTTTTAGTTTTGGACAAATTCTCCCCACCTCCAAGGGCAAAAGGGTATGATAAGTTTTCTGAAAAGTTCTCACTACTCGAGACTGGCCCGATGTGAAGAGATTCCAGTGACATAAGTGTCTCTGTTTACGCAAAGTCCTATGCATGCTGAATTAATTTACACTGACCGATCTTAACAGGTGTGTTCTGCTACCTCAGCTTTCATCTGCTTCTGTACTTACTCCTGAAGTTGAGCCTTCCCTCTGAAGTGCTGTGTTAACTAAGCCCTGTGAGGGCCCCTTGGAGCCCCTTCCTCCCTGACAGTCTCAGCTCTCAGTTCCGCTCCCTCTTTTCCTCCTGTACAAGTTCCTCTCCTAAGTGCAAGCCTTTCCCCAACTGCTATTCTCGGCCATCTTTCGAGATCCCGTGCGTATCCACGATTTCAGTTGTCTTCCTCGGAGAAAGCAGTGCGGTCAAACAGAAGGTAACTGTCAGGTTGGAGACGAACATTCCGGGTCAAAGCCCAGTTTCCTGACTTCCTCCTTGTCTGCCTAGGTCAGGTCTGGCATCCTCTGTGCCTCAACTTCCACATCATTAAAGTGGGTTTGTACTGTCTACTTCCTATGTGTGAGCTTATTAGGACAGTCCTGTGACAGATGACCTGTCCCATCTATAGACTCCCCCAGTCCACCTCTGCATTCCCACACTCCTTTTCCCGTCTCATTACAACCTGCAGGCCCATCTTTGATACGGAAGGGCCTCCCGCAGGCCCCAAGTCTCTTCATTTAAGGGAGTCTGCCTGTTTCTAGTCTATTATTTAAGAGTTAAATTAAGGCTACATGCCGGTCTCAATTTTTCTGTCCTTATAACTGGAGCAACCTAATTTATGAATAAATGTCCAAAAACCCATAGGTGAATTTATTTTTTTTACATTTTAGGATTCCTGTGTGTGTCTGACTTGGTCACTGTTGGTCTGGAGAAGGCAACTCAGACCCTGGATTATGGTCACAACACAGCTTCCTGCACTGAAAGCCTTGGTATAAAAACAAAACCCGAAAAACAGTCCACAGACGTAAACACTGCCTTCAGTGACATAGACGATTTATGTTCTTGCAAAGTGACCTTGTGGCAACACGTGGATGACACTGGTCCAGAGCTCAGGGAGCCTTTCTGGGTGAACCCGGGTGTCTCCACCCTCCCCCACACCCAGGCCTCAAATTCCATAAAGGTCTCACCTCACATCTTCTTTTAGCTTTTTAGTTTCCCTGTAGTGAAGCAACCACTTCCATCTTCCATTTTCATTTAGTTTCTCCAGGATTTTGATAATTTCCTTCAGTTGTACTACAGAATGAACAAATTTGACAAGAGAAGATGTATTTTAGGATTTTTGGCTTGTCTAGTCAAAGCCCAGGGATGATTATTTGTGAGAATAAGGCCCCATGTTTGAGTGTTGACCATCACTGCCACTCCTGTAGCTGGGCAGGAAGGATGCTGTGCCGCGCTTTAACCCGTGGTCCCTCAACCCAGCCCCACCTTCTCATACTAGCAGGAGAGAAGAGCACTGCAGTCATTACCAGTTAAAAGCTCTGAGTGTATATAAATCTATGGATGGAACGAAAGTGGGGTCCTGTTGCAACAGAGATAAGATAGGTCTAGGCTTCTAAATACAGAATCTACAAATATTTTCAACTCCACTTTCTATGCAACATTCATGCTTGTTAAGGTACGTCCTCCTCCTCTTCAATGGAGAAGTGGTATCCATGTTTACTTCTAATGTGCTATCAGAGCTGGGCAGGCTTTGATTGTACATAAAGTGTCTGCCCTGTGCTCTAACATTCTTTGACGTCAAATTCATTGCCCCGAGAGAAACTATTTATATATGAGTGTTTAAGCAGATAACTGAGAAGACTTCCAGTAGCCATTTTTTAGATTTCCATGATACTGATAAAATGGTAGGGGTGATGGCAACAGAAATGGAGGAAAGAGGGCTGATTCTAAACAAATATGTAGCTGATTTGATTTGGCAAAGGGAAGAATTGAATATAACAAACTCTCAAATGTGTATGAGTAGTTTAGCCACATTACCGAGAGGTTTTAATACAAAAGAGGTCAAGAGCAAAGTGCTTATTTAGCACAGCATATGACAGAAATTAAGCCCTCAACAGATGGTGACATATTGAGTTAATACTGATTTCTTTTTGATGAAATAATATTTGAATCACTGGGCAAGAAGAAATTGATTTGACTAGATATGAAAGGAAAATGAGAGACAAACCTAATGTTAAAGTTTCTAGTATTCTGTCATCTGACACCACAAAGCCTCCTGTCTGGAACAGCTCTTGGTAGGTGTAACTGAGGACGTCTTCAGGGCTGTCGATTCCGGCAAAGATGACACTGGGCAAGTGCTTCAGCTTCAGCAGAGAAGGAATCTGAAACATAAAAAGGTACCCCGGTGAAGACAGGTTCATTGGGTCACTTTTGTCACTTCTATCCAAGGGTGTCCAAACTCAGGAACAGCTGGAAATACCTTTAACCTTGATGACTGACTGGTAATCCTGTCAGTTAATAAGGAATTTTAACTCCATCAGCAATGCTGCAAACTCATTAAGATTAGTTACAAAGTGGTCTCTCAACTCCAAAGGTGGAAGACGGAATGAGGGGAGAACACCTGAGGTTTGGGACCTGTAATCAGGCAGGTGGCAAGCTCACCACCACCGTAGTCTCCCGCTTCACGTGGCGTCCGTGCTGTGGGTTCAGTTCCTGCCTCCTGACGCAGGACCATAAGCCCAGGCTAAGCCTCGATGTCAGAGCTTTTTGGGACAAGCAATTACTTTTATTTAACTGATAGGTAAATATGGTAACAAACAAAGAGTTAAGAAAATTTTCAAAAGTCCTTTTAAAGCAAGATTTATTACTGTTAGACATCAACAAATGTAGATTTATATTTCAGGTGAGAAAATTTTACCAGTCTCTCTTCATTGAAGTTCTCCCTTAGTTACTATGAAAATGTTCTTAACTCTGAGACATAATTTGCCTTATAAATACCTTGGTAAATTACAACGTTAGTATCCGTAGTACAGTATCTCAACCCCATTATCTTCCCACTTAGATTCAATGGTATTGTGCTTTAACTCCTTCCCTAAATAAAAAGGCGGTGATGAGCCTGATAATTATAGAATAACATAAAATGCCCAGAATACATTTCTCTGTAAGAAAGTTACTTCCAAACCTACCTGATGCAAATGTGATGATATATCTTCATTTCTGATGATGACTATGAGCATATCCTTCTCCCTGTAAAATGCTTGACAGAAATGCTGAGGTTCAATTTCTGTGTAGCCTCCTTTCCTTAGAATATGCTGAAAGATTTACAAATAGACATGATTTAAAAAAGGATACTTGCACAGAACTACTTTTGCAGTTTACTAAAAATATCAAAGACCATATCCTGTTTACTAAATTACGTTCTAATAAGGCAACATAAATGGCAGTTTATCTTATTACTAGACGTCAGCTTTCACATATAAAATGACTCCTGGGTATCACTGACAACTGGATTTAGAAGTTTATTTCAAAGGCAAAGCACTTTATAATGAATCTTTCATGTTCATAAAGTATCAAAGGTGGATTCTTCTGAAGCCTCAGACTAATATACACACATGAACCTCACCCTATTCAAGGGAGTTACCTTGGGAAGGCAGATATTTACTTGAAAAATGCCACCTCCAGTCAAAATGTTTCTACGACTTTTGACGATACCCATGATGCCTATGCATTACTTTGAGTATCGATAACAAGGACGGATTCTGGAAGCTGGCAGTGGCTTGGACCCAGGCTTTGAAGAGTGGCGGGAGCCGGGTGTTACACTGTGCCTGGTTATGGGGTGCGGCTGTGTTCCACAGAGCAGTTCTGCAATAAGCCTCACTGGGAGGATAAGTTCGTGTAGTTAAAGAAGTTCCTTAACCTTGTCCTCCTTTGTGATTTTGACATTGTTTCTGTCTGAAGGATTCTGGAGGTTTACCAAAAACACCATCACTTGTTATTTCCTTTCTAAAATAAGGTGTTACTTTGGTCAGTCTCCCCGCCAGATCTCAAGACAACTCAAATTTTGACTTCAAGTTTTCACTCAAAATGTATGGCAATGCTAACACAACACAGTGAATCAACTATACTCCAATACAAATTTTAAAATAAAATGAGAAAAAAAGTATGGTGATATATTTTCAAAAGACATTCCTACAGACAAGATATCTTTGAACAAAGAGCTCCTTAAAATATCTAAATATAAATCCTTATAAATCCTCACCTATTTTACTAATGAACGATTTGAACTAATACGCTTTCTGATAGGTTCAACATTTTCATCAGCTCCTGCGGAATTCTGGGCCATCCTGTCACACCCTGAATCACCTTATGAGTAAACAGGGCCTGACACCCCATCACTGGTGAATGCTCCAGGACAGACGGATTCTCCACCATAGCTTTCTGAGCTTTTTAAAAACACTTTGCTCTTGATCACACTTTATTCTCAAATGTACTTCATACTATGTCCACTTTCTCACTTGAAGTTGTTTTAAAGGTGCACACGATGTTATTTTCTGTTGTAAATAGTGGCCACGTGATAAAATATTACCATGAAATGATACAGTCACTACCGAAACAAGCATGTTATCTAGAAGTACCATGAAATGATACAGTCACTACTGAAACAAGCACGTTATCTACAAGTGTTACTTCGATAAACATCACTGTGACTGCTCCCGTATGAAAACCAGTGTCACCTGTACTCTGTAAAAGACATGAGAACTAAGATAGTGCATCGTTGCTTTTGAGATGGAAGCAAAAAGAAATCAAGTATTTTGCTCAATGTGGTAAAACAAGGACATGGCCATGGTGCTCAGTTGATCCCTGACTTATTTCAGCACAGGTCAGGGTGTGGCGTATCTACTCAGCCAGAGAAAATCAACTTTAATTCAAGGTTAAAATGAATAAATAATTTCCAGGTTACTTTTGGAGGCTAATCACCTTCCAAAGACTGAAGGCCACTTAATGCTTTATGTTTTCAACTAAAATCTTACCAAAATGGCACAGAAATTGCAACAAAGACAATGGAGAGGGGGGCGGGCTGAGGGCAGACCAGATATAGCAGCCATTTGTGAAGAACGTTGGACAACAAGAGGATCCTTGATTCCACAAATTTGGAAAACACTAAAAATCATATTAAATGATACAAAACAGGAGCCATCAGCCGCCTCACAGGAGAACGTACTGCTGACTCGGGCGACACGGGGAAGCCTCGCGTTGAGGCCGGTTGCCTCGCTTTTCTAATCCACTCTCTGTGCTGTGGTGGAGGGACCACTCTGTCAAGTGCAAACGTGCTGCCCCTCATCTTTCAGAAACATTTCTCGGTGCCCTGCAGGGACCTCAGGACAGTCCAAGTGCCCCCGTGTGATGTGCACGTGGCCCTTTTACCCCTGACGGTGATCGCCGTGCCCCCGACCGCCCCCCACCCTTCAGGAAGCCTCCTTAGGCCCCGTGCTTCCCCCCGGGGCAGCGCTGAGCCTCGGCCCGCAGGTGCCTGATGATTGCGACGTCCACACTGACCGATGCGGGGCAGGACTTGCCAGGAGGCGCAAGGCGCAGTCTGGGGCCTTTCGCTCCTCCGCAGCGGCCCTGGCATCTACACGCCGCGCACCCATCATGGCGACCGTCACGCTCGTCACTCAGCCCAGATGTTGCAAACATCTGCAGGCGCTCTGTGCTCCTCAGCAGCTGGGCGCTGGCAGGGGTCTCCTGGGACACGTCATCCCGGGGCAGCCACCCTGACTTAACCCAGGACTCAGCACGAGGGCTGACACGCGTGGACCTGAAACAAATCTCATCGGGCATCGGGACCCGAACCCTTACTGGTCTACCCGTCCACACCTGGTGAGAGGCCGGCGTCCTCTCCTGAAGGAGAACGTCCCTGGGCCCCTGACCAGGTCTGCCACCCTCAGAATGACATCTTGGCACCTGCCCCGCCACACCTGCCACAGCTGCACAGTTATCTTTACCATGTTTCTCACGTCCCGTTAGACCGAGAGGATCAGGAGAGGCAACATTCCCCTCACCTGCACACGTGGGGCTCCAACACGCACACCTGAGAAGGACGCTGGATCCCCCTCACTCTCCACACTAGTGGAGGTACACAGGTAAGCTTTTGTTAAAGCTGAATCTTAACCTTTGGCCTGTGTTTGTGTGTACAGTTGAATATGCCTCCACTGGTGCTGTGTTATGAAAAGAACTCACCGCACTAATGCTGGGTAATCATACAAATCTTCAAATATAGCACAAACGGCAGGTCCCTGTGGCCAGACCTTCAGTCTGCAGGGAAAGACTGCGCTGAGAAGCCGAAACACCACTTCATATCAATGGCTTCTTTCTGAAGCTGAGAATCCTGTATTACTTACAAAAAACTGAGACAGCGATCAAAATAATATAAACTGTTAAGGAAAATCTGGCACTTTACCTTTGTTCTTACAAAGAATGACTTGTCCTCTGTCTCCGCGAGGTGGAAGAGGTAGGTCCTGGTACAAGCCTCCTTCACAACCCTCTCCAGTTTGACGTGCAGACTGGTGCACAGGTCTGCAACCATGTCATCGTAGGAGGCTGGCCGAGGGATGGAGGGACACAGCTCTCGGGGTTCGGCTTCTCCAGAAGCAGCATGTGGCTCTTTCTCCTGGAAGATGACCGGGTGGCTGTTCATCACCTTGTTGAATTCGGCGTATTCGTTGAGAATAAGGGAAATGTCATTCCGGGACTCTTTCAATGTACTGTTATATTTCAACTTGTTGAGGTGGTATGAAACAGTTGAATTTCGTTCAGAGTTTGGGAGATGATTTCTATCGTGGCCACACCTCTCCTTCCAGGAGGAGGAGGAACGGCCCACACAGCTGGGTGTCTGCCTTCTCGCCTGCTGACCCTGGTGTCTGGGGCCTGAGTGCACTACTGTCACCATGAGGGGACTCCTGCTATGGGAGGAAGGAGGCAGCCCTGGGGACTCGGGCACTTTTGTCGCAGGGAAAGCCCCCATGGCGCCCTGGAGAGGGGGCTCCTTAGGAAAGACGGCGGTGGAAGGGGCGGAACACGGAGCAACTCCCGTCTTCACAATTTGTTTTAGTTTATGTGCAAAACGCAGATACTCCAGATCTAAAGTGTTCTGGGTGAGGTCGTCTGCCACCTGCCAAGTGTCTGTCCAGGAGCTGAGCAAGCCGCCCTTGGCCGTGACGCCGGGGTGCCTGCACAGGCTATGCAGGGTTCTCGTGGTGTCTCTCAGCTCTTTAGTGACAGTGAAGTTAGCATAGGTCCTGGGGATCCCACGGAGATCTCGGATTTGGACATAAGAGGGCACACACTTATCTTCCTTCTTTAATCCCACGGGCCAGCTTCTGGGAGGAATGCCCGTCTCCAGCCCTGGAACCTGGCTCGAGTAGCCCCAGTCATCATAATCACTATTGTTTAGGTTCAGGAAAGAGTCAAAACCATCTTTGGAAGTACGTTGTTTCTTCTCGGTGTGACTATATCGCAAAGTACAGGACTCTTCCGTATCTAATCTGGGGTTTCCACACTCACCAAAAGAGTCTTGATCCGAGTCTCCAGAAGGTGGTTCATAATGGATGTCAGAGTTCACACTGATATCCAGGCCTCCACCTCGGGTCACAGAGCCCCACTCAGCCCTCTGCCCCTCATCAGCACTCTTATCTTCCACCTGCTCTTCAAAGACCCCACAAACAAGAGGGGCACAAGATTTCGGAACAAAGGAAGAAGGCTCTGTATCGATAGTTTCACCTGTTGCTGCTGTCTTCTGGTAAGAATCAGCATGTAAATAGACGGGGAAAAGCCCACCATTCAGCAGAGTTCTTGCTGCACACGGTGACCCATCTTGCAGCATGTGGGCCGGTTTGTGTCTGCCTTCTGAAGAGGTGATGTGCAGCTGAGAGCCGACACCTCCTAGATCTATAGCTGTTTCACATAACTCAGCTCCAGTTTCATTATTCTTGAGCAGACTGGCCATTCTGATGATCATTTCCTGTGTTTCAAACTCCATCCCTGCATCGCTGGGTCCTGCCCTGTGGGTTAGGGTGGCCTCTCCCGAGAAGAGGGTGGGCTTGGGGAGCTCCAGGTACCCGCGGGCCTGCACAGCCTCAGCTCCGGCAACTGGGTCAAGGCGCAAGGACTTAACCAGGATGTAACAGAGTTCGTTTGTTTGCAAATCAATGCTCGAGTCATTTTCCTTAAGGCTCTTAGAGCTGGTCTGCTGTTTTAATGACACATTCACACCACTTGGTGTGGTTGTAGAAACAAACGTGTCAGCAAAAGACTTATTTTCAAGGATCTTCTGAGGGCTAAACGGAGGCTCACTGGTCTCCACGACAAGATGACTTAGGTGGGGATTTCTGTTCTCTACGCTCATTGGTTGCAGTGGATTTCTTGATGTTACCAGGTTTTCTAGAGAATCTCTGCATGTGGCAGCTGAGGCAGGCTGGTTTAACTCTGCATCATGGTGTGGCACCTTTTCTGAGAAAGAGTAACCCTCACCACACTCACTTGGGACAATTTCCTCAGTGACTTCACCAGGAAGGGTTAAAAATCTATCTTTTCTTCCTGGGTGATTTTTTAGTATTAGAGGCATTTCAGCAGAAAGCTGCATTTGCTGTATCTGAGTTAAGTTATCTTGTCCCACTGGATGGGTGGGACCAACAAAAGAATTTTCTTTTTCTGTTATGGCCAAATCTACTGTTTCAACCTGGGAGGATCTGTCAGTTTTCTCACAGTGTGCATCACAGAGTTTAAAACTACTTGGAGATACAGCCCAAGCTGGCTGTGCTTCTTCACCTGGTACCTGGCAGTCAGGGCTAGAAGCTGGTGACACTTCTTCAATTAAAGAACTGAAGGAGAAGTCTGAACCAACATGAACTTCCTCTGCAACCTCAAGGGCACAGGTTTCTTTCGAAAGTGTGAAAGCCACTGTCTGTAAGTTATCACCTTTTCTCTCACTTTCTCGTGGTTTCATTGACATGTGATCAGCAGAGTTCACATCAGGCACCTCTTCAGGCTCAATTATTTCTTCCGCTGTCT